GGGCCCATCCCACGGGTTTTTCTTTTCTGTTTTCTTGTGGAGGGAATCCAATGCTTGTACCACCACATCTCTCGCAGTTTTTTTGTGTTGATCCCAAGATTCTTCATTTGTTCGCTTATGAGAGAGCATGGTTGTCACCACATTTTGTCCACACACAGTTCTTTTGTTTTTTTGGGGGGTGAAATTTCATATTAAATTCCAGTATATGTTTGCAATTTATTTTTTTTTTTATTTTGTTAAATGATAAATATATATTAATATAATAACAGAAAAATTAAAAGAGTACAACCGATGTGTTGACTGACACCATTGGAATCAGAAGAAAGTTCGAATGGGTACAAACTCCATAAAAGGAGACACAAGTACTTTTTTCTTTTTTTTTTTTTCCAAATGACAACCAAACCAATTAATTCACTAAAACTCAAGTTAAGTTCACGGTGATCAAATGATCACTAGCCATACAAGCACTACACAAGGTAGAAACAAGAGGCACGAGATAAGATACCCCTTACCCCTAAACTGGCAACCAAGCCAAAGAGTCTAATAAACAAAGCAAAACTAGAAAATAGTACTAACATTAACGTTACAAAGAGACACCAAATTTTTAATGACAGCTACTAGGGGATGTAACTCTTCCTTGCTCAGGCTCTTGGAAATATCCTCCACAAGGTCACTAGAATGAAGAAAGAGTGTAAAGTTGCTGCACTTATTGCCGAGACACAAGTACAAAACTCTAAAAAAGAGAAATTAAATATAGGAGATTGAAAGTCAAACATAATTAGACTAACAAAATAAAAAAATAAATAATAATAAAACAAAAACGACCACACATGAAACATAGATAGACTAAGATCTTCTTTACACCTAGCAGGCAAATCGCACTATCACCCAAACCAGCATACGAGTCACTCCCCGTAGCATTATAAACCCAAAAAATCTTCAAATTGAAACTCCAGACCCAAAAACTACGGTCAAATTCGAACAACCTAAATTATTAATTTTGGCAATAAAATATAGGATTTCGATTTTTGCTAACTGGAAGTATGCGATCTAGATGATCATATTAATTGTAACAAACAAATCAACTAATTTGTTATATGTTGACTCACCCGACTCGTTGTGCGACAGACAGAGACAATAAATGACACGTCAAAAATAAAAAGAAAAAAATAAATAAACTGAAGTTTATAGAAAAAAAAAAATTGGGACTCTTGAAAACTTGATTTGTAATAGTTAGAAAAAAAAAAAAATAGTAAGAATCTAAAATATCAACTCGCCCGTGTACCTTAATTAAGCTTGTAAGCATGATAAAATTATGTTCGTCCCCTATTGCAGTGAAGATTATCAATTTTATGTTCAAATGAGTGCCTTAATGCTTATAGGGTTCTGTAATCTAAAAATACCCTTTGAGAAAATTAACAATAAAATATTTGGATGCTGCGTTCAATTATGACTTATTTTGAAAATAAATATAAGTTAATTCAATTTTTATGATGGGTATTTATTGGAACTTTATTTTTAAGAAATGTATTATTATTGATTTTTGCTCACTGTTATAAACAATTGTTTGTTTAGTCTTTTTTGACCTATGTATTTTCTCCTTTGTGATATGTTGTCTCCCCCATTGTTTTGTGACCCGAACCGGCCCTGGGGTCGACCCGGAGCCGAAACCGATCCGGGTAAATTATTTAGACCGGGTAACAATGGACTCGGTCAAACCCGGTCAAAACTCGGCCAACCCGGCCTTGACCCGGTCTCTATAATTTTTTTTTATTTTTTTAAATAAAAAATAAAAACTATGTTTATATAATGACATAGTAAATATTTATTGTGAGATTCAATATTATTAACAATTAAATGTACAAATTTTGTATACAAAACATTTATTTTTGTTACTTTTATGTATATTTATATGTCAAAAATACTATATATAAAATTTTTTGAATTTTAAAATTAATTATCCGGTTCAACAATTGAACTGGTGACCCGGCGGTTGAACCGGTGACCCCGTGACCCAGAGACCCGGTGACTCGGAGACCTGTCCGGGTCAATTTCTGGGCCGGATTTAAAAACTATGGTCTCCCCCACTCAATATCACATAACGAGTCAGACACGTAAGCATTGAATAATAAAATATATAAGATCATTAGCTATGAGTTATTTTGTGAATATAAAATTTATTTAAACCAAATAAGATAATAAAATATATAAGATCATTAGCTATGAGTTATTTTGTGGTGTTCACAAAAAATACTCCAAACCTCTCATTACACATCCTATTCTAATGAACTAATTAAACACCATGTGATAAAAATAAATAGAAGATCTCGAGTGGAAATACAGATTGTGATTTTGGCCTCTCTTCACCTATATGTATGTTAACAGTTAGAAAAAAAAAAAAAAAGTTTTCTATATTTTTTTACTTTGATTTGACAAATTTCCCATAGTCAGAACCAAGAAGAATCATGCATCAACATTATTGATTTCAACTCAAGGTAAATAGAGTGGTAAAAATGTTGAAATCTTTGGAGGAAGACAAAAGAACAAAAGTGCAGATAACATTAAATATAGTAACTGTAGATCTCGTGCATGTATGTGAGCATGTTATCCAATCTCAATTATTTCATGAAGTTATATTTTTGATTATATTTAATTGCACATAAAATCTCCATCTTTTAAGTAATTGCAAATAAAACTCAACTTTTTTTTTTTTTTTTTCAAATGAATATAAAACGTACGTGTTGCCAATTTCTCTCAAAACTATTTTCTGATCAGAACACTAAAATCACTCGAAAATCGCGCCCTCTGCCTAATTTTTCAGTATTTGGGGATGAGCTCGTAAGTGTATTCAGACTGTTGGGGGTGAACTCGATTTTCAGGGGTGAAGAATCGCGCCATGGAGAAGAGAAGAATCGATGCAAATATTTTTTTATTTTTTTTTTCAGTTGGGGGAGAAGAACTCGACTTTTATGAAGATATAAAGAAAAAAACATGTTGATAAAATCCTATTTTTTCAATTAGTACTAAACTCTAATTTTGGTTAATTTGTTCAGAAATTCTATGGCACCACATGTGGCACCATATTATGGTGCCACAACATGATGTGGCACATTATGATTGGTGCCACAACATGATGTGTGATAAAGAAAACCAATAATAATGCGCCACATCATGTTGTGGCACCATAATATGGTGTCACATGTGGTGCCATAGAATTTCTGTAATTTGTTGGCATATGAGGTGGCAAAAACATGATAAGTAGTTTCAAAGATTGATGTTATACAAGCCTCATAAGTGTTACTTGAGATTTGTGATAGGACACGTCAACAAGATTGGCCGGAAAATATTTTGAGACAAATTTGCAACACATAATAAAAGTTTGGTATTTATTTGCAAATATAAAAGGTTGAGTGTTATTTGCAATTACACAAAATTTCGAGGATTTTATGTGCACTTAAGCCTTTCTATTATCCCCTTATATATAACTATTGAATGTACTGAACTTAAGTGGCAGACTCACATGCTTCGGGATACTATGTGACAAAATTCCACGCTTTATTATTTGATTTGGATAAATTTTAATTTACTTCCAATCCAAAAATAATTAGGTTCGGATTATTATGTTGATTATTTAGGGTAATTTTAGATCTATTAATTATATTTTAATATCATTTCATATTATAACAATTGAATTATAAGTGTATTTTAAAAGTTAATAACTTTCGTATTTCTTTCAGTTTTACATATATAATATATCATTTTAATCATCTCTAACTTCAATTTGACATCTATATTGTATGCATAAATAAATAAATTTTATTTATCTATTTTATATATTTATGTTTAAAGTAGTTGTATGATATAAGTTAGAAAAAATATTAGAATACAACACATGTAACAAATATCATTCTAAAGTATAATAACATATATTTTTTAAAAAATATATTTAACTTAAAATATTTTTAATTAATTTTAAAATTTAAGAATATTTTTTAACAAGCACTCGTAAAACACGACGTTGTACTAGTATCGATAAATATATATCAGATACTAATGTTAGAACATTTACAGTTACATTTTACATATCATTTTACCAAAATACCTGCTCATGCAGCGATATTCCGATTAATCCGAATAAAATTGGCTGAAAAA